GTTGCAATTGCAGTTGCGATGCTATGGGTCATGCAGTTTCGCACGCTCTTGCCGTGCCTTTCGTGTACGGTCTCCTTTGACTGTCTTGCAGCTGGTTATGCTGCGAGTGGCCGATGGCAAGCACCCGACCAGTTTGGAGAGCAGTGCCACCTGTTCGAATTGTATCTACGGGAACAGCCAGGGCTGGCTCTCCACTTCGCCCACGTAAAGGCCCATGACGACAGCCCATGGAATGAACTCTCTGATGTTCTGGCCAAGGAGGCAGCCCATGGATCGGTGTGCTTTGGGGTTCCACCTACTGAAGTCTGCCGCGAGTTCCAGGACCATGATCTTTCCTGGTTAGCTGTTGAAGCCAGAGCTGCTCACAGCAAGACATACCAGGTACATCATGGCCGCTTGGAATGGGGACCGTGGCAGGATGATGGGTTTCGTTTACGGCCTGACCAACTCATTCCAGTGCAAGGGAAGAGTTGTGGTGATACGGATCGGCCGCGCAGTTTTGAGATTGCGGTTGGAACGCTGAATGTGCAGGGCTTTGGTGACAAGGCATCGTACTTAGAAGCCCAGTTTGACAGCGCAGCGCTCAACATTCTGATGTTTCAGGAGACCAAGTCACCAGTTGGCCTGATCCAAACCAGACGGTACCTCCGACTGCACTCGGCCTCGCTGTCCAAGTGGGGAACTGCCATCTGGATTCACCGACAACTTGGTGCCTTCACGGTCGATGGGAGGCCGGTTGTTGTTGATGAGCATGACTTGGAAGTGCAGGTTGAAGACCCCCGACTCCTGATTCTGAAAGTAAGCCCAGGCCGACTCTGCATTTATATTGTTGCAGCCCACTGCCCCCACGCCTTCAAGGGTGCTGAGAGTGGACAATTCCTTGACCTTCTTGAGCAGGAGTTGGGCAAGATCTGTGGTGCTGATCTGATTATCTGCGGGATCGACTTGAATGGGCGAGTCCCGGCCATGCGTGGGGATGCTACAGGGCCTGTCGAGTGCGGAGTGCCGGATGCCATTGGAAAGCGCTTTGCTCATATCCTCGAAAAATCTAGAATGTGGCTACCATCCACGTACAGGCACATTCACCCTGGAGAGGATAACACTTTTGTCCATGCTTCGGGCACAGAGCACCGCATTGATTATATTGCCATTGGAGGCCGAGCCTCCTGCCTTCGAGCCTGCAGCAGAGTCCTTCTTGACTTTGACACGGGAGCCCCCAGAGAGGATCACAGATTCGTTGGTCTGAATTTGGTGGGGACCCTGGAACGCGAGCCTAATCGCCGCTCACTGTGGCGGCCTGTCTTTGACCGGGCCAAGATTGCTTCGGAGGAGGGACGGCAGATCCTCCTCAGTGCTTGTCGAAACTTTGAGCAACCGCAGTGGGAGGTGTCACCTGATGAGCACTGTCAAAGAATCCAGGACATGTTGCTAGAGACATTGCGGGAGCACTTTACCACAGACAAGACTGGAGCCAGGGCGACCTACATTCCCCAGTCTGTATGGGACCTTCGGGAAACCAAAATCAGACTCAAGAACTCAACGCGTGGCCGACGGAATCTCTGGTCGGACCTTGTTGTTTGGGCTTTCCGACAGTGGCGTACTGGAGTTGATGCTGGTTTTGGCCTCCTAGTCCAGAAACAGGGCCTCCTGTACAAACTCACAGCGGCAGCTGTGCGATTTGCCACAGCACGTATTCGACGTGGTGTTGCGGAAGGGCGACAACAGTTCATCACTGGGATTTTAGGCGAGGGACAATGCAGTGCGGCCCAGCTGCTCCGAAGAGCCAAGGCAGCGGGCTTGGGTGGCGCAAAAGCACGATGCAAGCGCAGGCCGCTCCCCGCTCTCCTTGATCCCAAGTCTGGGCGACCAGTTGGACATCGGGATGGAAAAGACCAAGTTTGGTTGGAATACTTCGGCCAGCAGGAGCAGGGCACCATCCTTGGCACGAAGATTCTTGTGGAGCAGGCTGCGATCCCTATGCCTGCAGATGATGTTGTGTGGGAACTTGAGTTCCTACCGACCCTTGCTGATGTCCAGCGTTTGATGAGGACCACGCCTCGCCACAAATCAGCTGGTTTAGACTTGATCCCTGGAGATGTGTTGGCAACAGCCCATGAGGAGCTAGCTGGACTTCTCCATCCTCTCTACACCAAAGCTATGCTTTGGGCAAAACAACCAACGCAGAGGCGAGGAGGGATTTTGTTCGAAGCATTCAAAAATGCAGGGAGCAGCCAAGATGTGGCAAATTTCCGGAGTTTGTTCGTGAGCAGCTCTATCGGCAAATGCTACCATCGCCTTGTTCGTGACAAAATCCAGCTGCACACTCAGCGTGTATTGCATCCATTGCACTGCGGGCCACGACAACAGGCCCCCGTTCAGTTCCCTGCACTCTACATCCTCTCGCATGTTCGGAGGTGTGTTCGAAAGGGGCTGTGTTATGCAGTGTTATTCTTGGACACAAAGAGTGCATACTATGCTGTCTGCAGAGAGCTAGCGGTTGGAGACATCTGTCGCGACTCTACCGTCATCAAGCTGTTCCAGCGTTTCAATCTGACGCCAGAGGACCTCCAGGAGCTTATGGCTGCGGTTTGCTCAGGAGGGGCCATGGGTGAAGCTGGCGTTCCACCAGCCCTACGACAGGTGATTCGAGACTTGCACTACAACACCTGGTTCACAACGCGGTATGCTGACGGCGAACGCGTCTGCAAAACCTACGCTGGTTCGAGACCTGGTGAAAGCTTCGCTGACACTGTATTTGGATTTGTATATTCGAAGCTTCTATGCTCGATCTATGAATCTGCTGCAGCTGAAGACCTTGCTTTCGCGATCCCCTTTGACCCGGAGACGGGGATTTACAGTGATGGCTCTGCTGGCAATGAGCAAATTTCCTGGGATGGCACGTGGGCAGACGACAGTGCTTTCCTCACGGTTGCTGATGATGCAGATCAGATTGTTCGCAAGGCAATGAGACTTTCGGAGGTCGTGCTTGGATCCTGCCAAAGTGTCGGCCTTACACCGAACATGAAGGTCGGTAAGACAAGCCTCCTCTTGAGGCTGAAGGGTCGTGGCTCTGTGCAGGCTAGGCGAAGATATTTCCCGGATGGTGTCTCAGCCCTTCAGATTGCCAGTCTGAACATTGCAGTTCCCATCGTGCCACAGTATAGACATCTTGGTGGTTACCTTGATGTTAACAATACGATGGTTGTGGAAGCCCGCCACCGTGTTGCTTTGGCTGCCAAAGCCTTTGATGATTCCAGCCGACTCATCCTAAGTCGACGGGACCTCTCCTTGGCTGCGCGTGCAGGAGTCTTCAATATGGTTGTTTCTACGTCGCTGTTCAACCTTGGACTGTGGATCCCTGATGGGAAAGCATGGAAGCTGATGAATAATGCTTACTCCCGGTTGGTCCGGCGACTCCTTGCCTCGGCCTTTAAAGGAGACCGGATTTTCCGTGTTCCCTTACCTGTGGCGCATGTGGCGACAGGCTGTTGGAAGCTTGAACTACTTGCTCGCCGAGCGAGGCTCAGTTTACTCGTCTCCCTTGTCATAGCAAGGCCTGATCTCCTCTGGGCCATCCTTCAGGCCGAAGCGGAATGGCTGGCTGTTGTCCGTGGAGACTTGGAGTGGCTGGTCGGTCCCAACCAGTCAGATTGGCCGCGGCTTGAGGCAGCAGGATGGCCGGAGTGGTTTTCGCTTATCCGCGCCCATACGGCGCGTTTCAAGCGGCGGGTGGCCCTCCGCATGAAAGCTACTCATGCAGAGACCTGCGCCTCTGACATGGAACAAGTCAGTCTCTGGGCCCTCTATAAGGCGCTGCCGGCAGTCAGTGTTGCGAGACCCCAGCGACCCTACTACAAATGCTGGATGTGTGGAGTTGCTTTCGACGCCAGAGCCAAGCTCAGTGTGCACCACTTCAAAACTCACAACCGGGTTGCTGAGTATCGGAGGTTTGCTACTGGGTCGTATTGCTCGGCATGTGGCAAGGAGTTCTGGTCCAATGGGAGACTGGCAGCTCACTTGCGCTCCTCCAAAACCTGTGTAGCGAAACTTCGAGGAAAAGGTGCGGAAGTTCCAATTGAGCCTGGTTTTGGGAGTCGAAGACGACGACAGCAGGATGTGGAGCAGTACACACCTGCTGCCCCTACGAGAACTGGGTCCTCCATTGTTTCCTCTGATGAAGTTTGCTGGGGCCCACATTTGAAGCAGTTCTATCGAGCGATATGTGAGGCTTCCTTGGTCACTGAGGATGAAGACTTCCGTGACGTGATCTGGAGCATTCTGGCAAAGTTTCCCTTGTACCCGGAGGAGATTTGTGATGCATTGTCCTTTGTGATGTCTGAGATGGAGCTCGTGTACGAGAGTGATACGAGGCGACAGTGGAGCAGGGCATGTTTGGATGCAATGCAATCTGCCTGTCGAGCTGTAATGGCAGTAGTCTGGAGCGCTCCGGATGAAACACTGCCACAGCTAGAAAAGAGCCAAACATTCGAGGACTTTAGGACGCTGCTATGCACGATCCAGTGGAACAAGGAAGTTCAGCGAGTGATGTCTTCGCACGGGACCCAACCGCATGCCTTGTTTATCCTGCCTTCTACCTGGGAAGCTGAGTGGGAGAAGTGTAGGGAGGTATTCGGTAGCTCGGCCGTGCTTGACGAGCCACTTGCACTACTGCCAACGGCTTTAAGGGAGCTGTGGCAGGCGATGATTCGAGGACGGGCTGTACAGCTCAGAGCTCCGGAGCAGTTCTGGGGTCGCCCGTTGGCTGGGCCTTTCCAGTCGTTGAGGGAACAACCTTGCAAGTAATTAAGCCGCGCACTTACCTCTGAAGGCACGGAAATGGAAAAATACATATATATATATATTAATAAATAATAAGAAGAATTAGCATGTATGTAGGTATATGTACATACAAACAGGCACATGTAATGGTTGTTCTCCTGCTAAGGAGGCAACCAGAGCTCGGCGGGAGCACTCGCCAGCTCCTCCACTCGGAAAAGCGACTAAGTTGCACCGGCAATACCTGGACCAAACTTTCTTGCAACTCAGATTATGATATTGCCTGTAGTGTTCAACCTTCCCACCCCAGTAGATCCCATCCCTCTTCAAACAGCATCCCTGCGGCCTGCATGTCTGAGGGCATGTGCCCAATGCCAGGAACTTCCTCACAGTCCGTCCATACCTGGTGGCTCCATGTCTCGTGGGCTGTTCCGGAAACGCGCAAATCGCAAGAGCGAGAGGCGCCGACTAGATTGCAAGCACGCAGGGTCTGAGCTCTCCGCCAACTGCGGGTTGGTCCTCGGCCCGGGCTTCGCGCGATTCTCCGATTCTGTGGCTCTGGCTCCCTGCCGGGCCCTGGGGCCAAGGCTGCTTCAGGCTTTGGGAGAGAAGCGCCCAGGACCTTTGGCGGGAGGGGGCGCCAGACTCGGAGGTGAGGTCGCCGGCGCCCTCTCCAGGACCGGGGCGAGAAGATGATGGGCGCCCAGCCGGTGTCGACCTGAGAGAAGAGCTTGGAACCGAACCTGTGACTCCCAGGCATCCCAAGCGGTCGGGATCCGGTCCGCACCTTTTCGTTCTTTCGCTTTCCTTGCCACCCACCCAAAAGGGGATTTGCATTCAGGCTCCGGAGGTCTTGGCGGGCTGCATGAATTCTGGACCCTCTGGCTTAGCGGGCTCCGCCAAAGCAGATGAGGGCAAGAGGACTCTCGTCCATAAAAGTGCAGCCAGCGAACGAGCACGACTCCACCCCTCGATTGAAACTGTACAGGTGCGCCACATTGAATCGGGCGCCGGCGCCTGCGGTCACAAGTCGGACACACTGTTCGTGGCCGATGCCGAGATCCGCAGACCCTACAACTGGATACCAAAACTGGAAGCTCCGAAATGGTGTGGCTGTTGTGCCACAACGAAAAGCAAGATCACCTCCTCTGGATGTCCACAAGTGCCTCTTAGGCAGCTGTGCCCGAAGTCGAAGTCAATCAAACGAAGGAGTGCTCCCATTCCCCACTCAGCTCGTTGAAGTTCAAGTAACACACACCGGGACCAGGCTGTACCGGATCAGGCTTGTCGCTTTGCTGGGCCACTCGCCACACGTAGCCCAGCCGCGTCTCGCACAGGAACTTGAACTGCTCCATCGCATTCTCGTATTGGTCCCTGGTCAAGAAGTCACTGAGCCTCCTGCGACGGGATGACAGCTACATCTATGAGAGCTATAATACACCTTTTCGTTGTGCTCACGACTGAGTTTCTGCCTCTGAAGCCGCTGGCGCACCCGTCGGCGGGCGGCTTGATTCGTGGCGACGCGGAGGGAATGGACTGCCCGGTCCAGAAGCTCGCGGATGGTGTCGCCGGTGGAGTCCTCCAAGCCCGGTGGACCTGATAAGGAAAAAGCTCACGCACCACTCTGCGGCCATGTGCTTTCCCTCCGGGCATGCCACACCTGCCTCGGAGCTCCTCCGAGCTTTCAGAGAATTCGCTGCTGGTTCGTGTCGAAGTTCGAGTCATGGTCAGCGAGACGCTGTCAGCCCCGCAGTCAGACATCTTGGCGAAAGGGTGGTGCGGTTGGTGCGCTTGGTGTGGCTGGGAAACACTCTTTGAGCCCTCGGGGCAACGGGCATTGGAATCGAGGCTGCTCTTGAATGCTTCGCCAAGGGCCCTCTTTGTGCCTGGCCAACAAGGAGAACGGGAAGCGATAGGCCAGGTAGTACCAATCCTAAGCATTCTCACTGCCTCGAATGGCTGCCGAGCACAGTCCGCACGCTTCAGCAGTGCCAAACGTCTGAGGCGGCAGCGCTCATCAGGAAGTCCGTCTCAAGGACCATTTCCTGTCCTGAGGTCGCTCTCAGCCGCGGCTGGGACTTGGACCCTCGGCTGAGAGCCACGCGGTAGGTCCTGTTCATGGTCAGGAGGTACACGGTGCGCACTGCGAGGATGCCCAGAATGCAATCCTCTGAGCGCTGCCCGGCCCAAGCCGGAAGCTACAAGTAGTAGCTTGAAGAGTTTCCGCAGCATGATTCGATCTTAGATGCTTCCGAAGAGTTCTGAGGTCTTCCATGGATCCGAGCGGCCTCAAAGCTCTGGCTGCTCTCGTGCGTCTTCTCTTTTGCTTGGCAGGTCGCCCTCGAATATCTTGGGCCGACGTGAAACTAGCATGTGAAACACGTCAACTCGCTCTTACTGTCTTCCCTTCTTTTGCCTCGGAAGGTGTAAATCAGAGTCCTCGCCTGGGAACGATTGTCTGCTGCGTTCACCCGGGGCAGAAACCAGCTTCTTAACAAGGTCCAGGTTGCTTCTTTCTGGTCTAGTTGAACGGCATACGCCCTGATGGAGGCTCTGACTGTGCCAAGGGAAGGCGGACTCTCCCCCGCGAGCGGGCGCGCACTGGTCTCAGCGTCCAATATGACACTACAGCGGTGGAACGAGGCTCTGGCTTGCAGTGTTGTGCCCCCAACCCGCAAGCCCGCGCAGGGGCCGCCCGTCTGTTGGCTGGAAGCACTGTGTTACCTGCAACACACAATAACTAGAACTTGCCACTCCGCGGGGGCATTGGCATGCGAAGCTTCGGCACATCCGTAGATGCGAGGGCAAGCGTGCGTTCGTATAGTTGTGTTCATCCCCGGTCTGCTGCGCTTCGGGCTCGGAACAGCAGAACTCGATGTTGCCATGCCACGACGCATTACAAGACTATGCTCAAGAAAGCGAAGCATGGTGTAGAGAGAGGAGGCCGATAGACCGAACAGTTTAGGCACTCGTTAAAGCAGCATTAAAGCAGCCAACGCTTGCGAAGGTCAAATTCTTAGCTTCTGCAGTCGGGGCGCGGCATTCAGATCCAGAACAACATCGACCCTCGAGTTGCGATCGGTCAAGGACAGCAACCCGCCCCCAAACTGCCTCTGCAAATGGAGAGCTCTCTCTCTCTCCCCCTCTTCTCGTCTCTTCTCCTGCGTGCAAGGATTGTGGTGTTTTTGGGTGCGAATTCTGCGGAGTCGCGTTCGTGGGCCTGAATCTCTGCAGGAACCCCTAAGAGCTCGGCCCGGGAGACCATCACTTCGTGGGCGCTGATGATGTTGGTCAAGTCCTTGCAGCTACAGAAGCCGCTCGGTGCCACGAGCTCAGCATGTGAGCCCTTCTGGGCACGCCGCATGTTGTATCGGCCGAATTTGCTCCTGCACCAATGCGGCCTATTCGTGTAAGAACTTTAGGTGCAGCAGGCACGGAAGCGGTCCCAAAAGATCTGGGTCATATTGCCATAGCCTCGCCTCGGGAAAATCCGAAGCCCCAGTCACAGGAAGCAGGGAGAAATGATCCGACGAAGCGAGAAATCCTCTGACCTCTGAGCAGCTTGCAGGTGGGACTCCAACCACATGGACAGGCCACGTTTCAGGTCCGGCCTGCGGACCATGGTTGCGCAGAAGCATACAGTAAGCGTCGAGCTAAATAAGGTGAAAAGACCGAGGAGCCAGTGGAAGAGCTGGTCTGCCGAAAACGTGCACGAGAGGCGATTGATGTCCTTGTAGTCTCCTGCTACGCTGAGGCAGATGCGGTGAGAACGCAAGTGGGCCTGTTGATGGGAACGCAAACGAGCCTGCTCAATCAATGCTTGGCAGTGACTCTCTTTCGACATACAGCGTGGTCACACTAGTCGTGTGAATGCCTCAGAACTGCCGAGCAAATCGCGGCGACACAAAGATGGTTGATACGCGGCATCAGTACAAGCCACCCCGAGTACAAACTCTTGGTTATACTCACCTCCAAAAACAACCTCCCCGGCATGTACGCTAGGACTGGGAGCCAACCCTTGGTCCCAAACCGTCCTGCCCAGTCCGGCAGTGGCACGTTTCCTTAGCAAAGCCAAAATTTGAAAACAGAACCTTCCCAAACACGAGCTGAGACCATAGACATGCAGACAGGGTTCGGATGGGGTCCCACGGGACATAGCCGAGCGGATCATCGTGGAAGATGTTTGTTATTGCTCCCTGCCACTGCAAGGGCCGCAAGGGGCACGTTTTCGTTGAGACTTCCCCTGCCCTGGCCTTTGGCGTGGGCCGCTGCACGCTGAGCCCCAGCAGCGTGTGAAGCAAGCCAGCCTGTGAAGGCAATTCGATTCGGCCCGAAACTGAAGCACATCTTGCTACGACTACGTAATTCCAGCAGGCATGACTGACGACTTCCACACTCTGCCACACTGTCAGGAAGACCGATCATGGAACTGTTGGATCACGGGAAAACGCAGCTGCCTGCAGTTGGCGGCGCAATAGCATGGCCCAGCATGCAGGGCCCGAGGAAGCAGGGAGCAGGGGCTTTGGGCTTTGGGTTTCACGGCCCGGACATGACCAGGGCGGAGGCTTGTCTCAGAGATGCTCTTCCGGGAATCCTGTGCTAGGCTTTGAGGAGGCCCGGAAATGGGAGCAGCTTGGGCAAAGGCTCCTCGAGCATCTGGCAGTGTCGGCACGGATTCAATCTACAAATAAGTGATGTGGAGGCTACCGTTGCTGTTGCTGAGCACTGCGTGCGTATTGCCTTCAATAGCCCAGAAAAACACCCATCCATCGGCCCTGTCGTGCTGTGACAAAGGGCGATCTTTGCTGAAGTTGACATGTCAACCCTGCCGCCTTGGACTGCAAGGAACAGATTCCGAGATCCCGCAGCAGAGCTCCATCTTTTGCTCAGGTGCCCCGCGCTTTCTCATGCGGGCTGTTTGGGATCAGACTTGGCTGGGCTTGAATTCGGGGCCCCTTCTGGGGCTTGCATGGCAGGCTCGAGATCCAGTCTCGGCGAAAGTGCCAGCCAGTCAACGGGCAAAACGTCACCCCTCGAATAAAACTGCACAGGTGCGCCACAGATGTGTCGGGCGCTGGCGTCTGCTGCTGCAGCAGGTCTGCCGCGGCTGTTCGCGACCGATGCTGAGAGTTCAGACTAATTTCAGACAAGGTGCTTCACAGCACTTCTTGCAAAACAAAACTGGAAGCTCTGAAATCGTATGGCTGTTGTGCCACAACGAAAAGCAAGATCACCTCCTCTGGATGTCCACAAGTGCCTCTTACGAGGCAGCTGTGCCCGAAGTCAAAGCCAATCAAACGAAGGAGTGCTCCCATTCCCCACTCAGCTCGTTGAAGTTCAAGTAACACACACCGGGACCAGGCTGTACCGGATCAGGCTTATCGCTGTGCTGGGCCACTCGCCACACATAGCCCAGCCGCGTCTCGCACAGGAACTTGAACTGCTGCATTGCATTCTCATATTGGTCCCTGGTCAAGAAGTCACTGAGCCTCCTGCGACGGGATGACAGCTACATCTATGAGAACTATAATATACCTTTTCGTTGTGCTCACGACTGAGTCTCTGCCTCTGAAGCCGCTGGCGGACCCGTCGGCGGGCGGCTTGATTCGTGGCGACGCGGAGGGAATGGACTGCCCGGTCCAGAAGCTCGCGGATGGTGTCGCCGGTGGAGTCCTCCAAGCCCGGTGGACCTGATAAGGAAAAAGCTCACGCACCACTCTGCGGCCATATGCTTTCCCTCCGGGCATGCCACACCTGCCTCGGAGCTCCTCCGAGCTTTCAGAGAATTCGCTGCTGGTTCGTGTCGAAGTTCGTGTCATGGTCAGCGAGACGCTGTCAGCTCCGTAGTCAGACATCTTGGCGAAAGGGTGGTGCGGTTGGTGTGGTTGGTGCTAATGCACGGTGGGTGAAGCCTCTTCGAGCCCTCGCAGCGAAAGCCACATTCCGCGTCACGCCTGAAATGCAACCAAAACCGCGAGCACGACAATAGGACCGGCAGCGAACCAATGTGTGTGAGCAGGACAGCAAACTGCCCTTCTATCCAGAATCCCTGATGCAAGGGTTCGAAAGGCGTCCGAAGAGCGTCCCTTTATGACAGGCACCTTCAACCAAAGCCTAGACTCTAGACCCTGAAGCTTCCAGACTATCCCACATGCTGTACACTTCGAGAGTTCGCCATTGATGGGTCAGGCATGGCTTCCATCTTCCCTCCAACCCTTCTACATCAGGGCTTGCCGTGCTGAAGTTGGGGGCATAGCTGGCATAGCTCCATCTTTTGCTCAGGTGCCCCGCGCTTTCTCATGCGGGCTGTTTGGGATCAGACTTGGCTGGGCTTGAATTCGGGGCCCCTTCTGGGGCTTGCATGGCAGGCTCGAGATCCAGTCTCGGCGAAAGTGCCAGCCGGTCAACGGGCCACAGATGTGTCGGGCGCTGGCGTCTGCTGCTGCAGCAGGTCTGACGCGGCTGTTCGCGACCGATGCTGAGAGTTCAGACTAATTTCAGACAAGGTGCTTCATAGCACTTCTTGCAAAACAAAACTGGAAGCTCTGAAATCGTATGGCTGTTGTGCCACAACGAAAAGCAAGATCACCTCCTCTGGATGTCCACAAGTGCCTCTTACGAGGCAGCTGTGCCCGAAGTCAAAGCCAATCAAACGAAGGAGTGCTCCCATTCCCCACTCAGCTCGTTGAAGTTCAAGTAACACACACCGGGACCAGGCTGTACCGGATCAGGCTTATCGCTGTGCTGGGCCACTCGCCACACATAGCCCAGCCGCGTCTCGCACAGGAACTTGAACTGCTGCATTGCATTCTCATATTGGTCCCTGGTCAAGAAGTCACTGAGCCTCCTGCGACGGGATGACAGCTACATCTATGAGAACTATAATACACCTTTTCGTTGTGCTCACGACTGAGTCTCTGCCTCTGAAGCCGCTGGCGGACCCGTCGGCGGGCGGCTTGATTCGTGGCGACGCGGAGGGAATGGACTGCCCGGTCCAGAAGCTCGCGGATGGTGTCGCCGGTGGAGTCCTCCAAGCCCGGTGGACCTGATAAGGAAAAAGCTCACGCACCACTCTGCGGCCATGTGCTTTCCCTCCCGGCATGCCACACCTGCCTCGGAGCTCCTCCGAGCTTTCAGAGAATTCGCTGCTGGTTCGTGTCGAAGTTCGTGTCATGGTCAGCGAGACGCTGTCAGCTCCGTAGTCAGACATCTTGGCGAAAGGGTGGTGCGGTTGGTGTGGTTGGTGCTGATGCACGGTGGGTGAAGCCTCTTCGAGCCCCCGCAGCGAAAGCCACATTCCGGGTCACGCCTGAAATGCAACCAAAACCGCGAGCACGACAATAGGACCGGCAGCGAACCAATGTGTGTGAGCAGGACAGCAAACTGCCCTTCTATCCAGAATCCCTGATGCAAGGGTTCGAAAGGCGTCCGAAGAGCGTCCCTTTATGACAGGCACCTTCAACCAAAGCCTAGACTCTAGACCCTGAAGCTTCCAGACTATCCCACATGCTGTACACTTCGAGAGTTCGCCATTGATGGGTCAGGCATGGCTTCCATCTTCCCTCCAACCCTTCTACATCAGGGCTTGCCGTGCTGAAGTTGGGGGCATAGCTGGCATAGCTCCATCTTTTGCTCAGGTGCCCCGCGCTTTCTCATGCGGGCTGTTTGGGATCAGACTTGGCTGGGCTTGAATTCGGGGCCCCTTCTGGGGCTTGCATGGCAGGCTCGAGATCCAGTCTCGGCGAAAGTGCCAGCCAGTCAACGGGCAAAACGTCACCCCTCGAATAAAACTGCACAGGTGCGCCACAGATGTGTCGGGCGCTGGCGTCTGCTGCTGCAGCAGGTCTGCCGCGGCTGTTCGCGACCGATGCTGAGAGTTCAGACTAATTTCAGACAAGGTGCTTCATAGCACTTCTTGCAAAACAAAACTGGAAGCTCTGAAATCGTATGGCTGTTGTGCCACAACGAAAAGCAAGATCACCTCCTCTGGATGTCCACAAGTGCCTCTTGCGAGGCAGCTGTGCCCGAAGTCAAAGCCAATCAAACGAAGGAGTGCTCCCATTCCCCACTCAGCTCGTTGAAGTTCAAGTAACACACACCGGGACCAGGCTGTACCGGATCAGGCTTATCGCTGTGCTGGGCCACTCGCCACACATAGCCCAGCCGCGTCTCGCACAGGAACTTGAACTGCTGCATTGCATTCTCATATTGGTCCCTGGTCAAGAAGTCACTGAGCCTCCTGCGACGGGATGACAGCTACATCTATGAGAGCTATAATATACTTTTTCGTTGTGCTCACGACTGAGTCTCTGCCTCTGAAGCCGCTGGCGGACCCGTCGGCGGGCGGCTTGATTCGTGGCGACGCGGAGGGAATGGACTGCCCGGTCCAGAAGCTCGCGGATGGTGTCGCCGGTGGAGTCCTCCAAGCCCGGTGGACCTGATAAGGAAAAAGCTCACGCACCACTCTGCGGCCATGTGCTTTCCCTCCCGGCATGCCACACCTGCCTCGGAGCTCCTCCGAGCTTTCAGAGAATTCGCTGCTGGTTCGTGTCGAAGTTCGTGTCATGGTCAGCGAGACGCTGTCAGCTCCGTAGTCAGACATCTTGGCGAAAGGGTGGTGCGGTTGGTGTGGTTGGTGCTGATGCACGGTGGGTGAAGCCTCTTCGAGCCCTCGCAGCGAAAGCCACATTCCGGGTCACGCCTGAAATGCAACCAAAACCGCGAGCACGACAATAGGACCGGCAGCGAACCAATGTGTGTGAGCAGGACAGCAAACTGCCCTTCTATCCAGAATCCCTGATGCAAGGGTTCGAAAGCGCGTCCGAAGAGCGTCCCTTGATGACAGGCACCTTCAACCAAAGCCTAGACTCTAGACCCTGAAGCTTCCAGACTATCCCACATGCTGTACACTTCGAGAGTTCGCCATTGATGGGTCAGGCATGGCTTCCATCTTCCCTCCAACCCTTCTACATCAGCGCTTGCCGTGCTGAAGTTGGGGGCATAGCTGGCATAGCTCCATCTTTTGCTCAGGTGCCCCGCGCTTTCTCATGCGGGCTGTTTGGGATCAGACTTGGCTGGGCTTGAATTCGGGGCCCCTTCTGGGGCTTGCATGGCAGGCTCGAGATCCAGTCTCGGCGAAAGTGCCAGCCGTCAACGGGCAAAACGTCACCCCTCGAATAAAACTGCACAGGTGCGCCACAGATGTGTCGGGCGCTGGCGTCTGCTGCTGCAGCAGGTCTGCCGCGGCTGTTCGCGACCGATGCTGAGAGTTCAGACTAATTTCAGACAAGGTGCTTCATAGCACTTCTTGCAAAACAAAACTGGAAGCTCTGAAATCGTATGGCTGTTGTGCCACAACGAAAAGCAAGATCACCTCCTCTGGATGTCCACAAGTGCCTCTTACGAGGCAGCTGTGCCCGAAGTCAAAGCCAATCAAACGAAGGAGTGCTCCCATTCCCCACTCAGCTCGTTGAAGTTCAAGTAACACACACCGGGACCAGGCTGTACCGGATCAGGCTTGTCGCTTTGCTGGGCCACTCGCCACACATAGCCCAGCCGCGTCTCGCACAGGAACTTGAACTGCTCCATCGCATTCTCATATTGGTCCCTGGTCAAGAAGTCACTGAGCCTCCTGCGACGGGATGACAGCTACATCTATGAGAGCTATAATATACTTTCTCGTTGTGCTCACGACTGAGTCTCTGCCTCTGAAGCCGCTGGCGGACCCGTCGGCGGGCGGCTTGATTCGTGGCGACGCGGAGGGAATGGACTGCCCGGTCCAGAAGCTCGCGGATGGTGTCGCCGGTGGAGTCCTCCAAGCCCGGTGGACCTGATAAGGAAAAAGCTCACGCACCACTCTGCGGCCATGTGCTTTCCCTCCCGGCATGCCACACCTGCCTCGGAGCTCCTCCGAGCTTTCAGAGAATTCGCTGCTGGTTCGTGTCGAAGTTCGTGTCATGGTCAGCGAGACGCTGTCAGCTCCGTAGTCAGACATCTTGGCGAAAGGGTGGTGCGGTTGGTGTGGTTGGTGCTGATGCACGGTGGGTGAAGCCTCTTCGAGCCCTCGCAGCGAAAGCCACATTCCGGGTCACGCCTGAAATGCAACCAAAACCGCGAGCACGACAATAGGACCGGCAGCGAACCAATGTGTGTGAGCAGGACAGCAAACTGCCCTTCTATCCAGAATCCCTGATGCAAGGGTTCGAAAGGCGTCCGAAGAGCGTCCCTTTATGACAGGCACCTTCAACCAAAGCCTAGACTCTAGACCCTGAAGCTTCCAGACTATCCCACATGCTGTACACTTCGAGAGTTCGCCATTGATGGGTCAGGCATGGCTTCCATCTTCCCTCCAACCCTTCTACATCAGCGCTTGCCGTGCTGAAGTTGGGGGCATAGCTGGCATAGCTCCATCTTTTGCTCAGGTGCCCCGCGCTTTCTCATGCGGGCTGTTTGGGATCAGACTTGGCTGGGCTTGAATTCGGGGCCCCTTCTGGGGCTTGCATGGCAGGCTCGAGATCCAGTCTCGGCGAAAGTGCCAGCCGGTCAACGGGCCACAGATGTGTCGGGCGCTGGCGTCTGCTGCTGCAGCAGGTCTGACGCGGCTGTTCGCGACCGATGCTGAGAGTTCAGACTAATTTCAGACAAGGTGCTTCATAGCACTTCTTGCAAAACAAAACTGGAAGCTCTGAAATCGTATGGCTGTTGTGCCACAACGAAAAGCAAGATCACCTCCTCTGGATGTCCACAAGTGCCTCTTGCGAGGCAGCTGTGCCCGAAGTCAAAGCCAATCAAACGAAGGAGTGCTCCCATTCCCCACTCAGCTCGTTGAAGTTCAAGTAACACCCACCGGGACCAGGCTGTACCGGATCAGGCTTATCGCTGTGCTGGGCCACTCGCCACACATAGCCCAGCCGCGTCTCGCACAGGAACTTGAACTGCTGCATCGCATTCTCATATTGGTCCCTGGTCAAGAAGTCACTGAGCCTCCTGCGACGGGATGACAGCTACATCTATGAGAGCTATAATATACTTTTTCGTTGTGCTCACGACTGAGTCTCTGCCTCTGAAGCCGCTGGCGGACCCGTCGGCGGGCGGCTTGATTCGTGGCGACGCGGAGGGAATGGACTGCCCGGTCCAGAAGCTCGCGGATGGTGTCGCCGGTGGAGTCCTCCAAGCCCGGTGGACCTGATAAGGAAAAAGCTCACGCACCACTCTGCGGTCATGTGCTTTATCGTTCTACAAACCACTCCTCGTGTCACCCGTTACAGTATTAATTAGCAATGAAACTTTGTTTCTTACAGCCCCAGGTGTTTGCAATTTTGCAGTGCTTCTAGGGACCAGGGTGCCTGGCACAGCAAAGCTTTACCATATCGCTGTCACGCTGCCAGAAGAAACCCTAGGCCGAGATGCTGGAAACCAGTGCTTGCAGCTACGAAGGATGAAAGGGAAAAGCACTTCTGAACGCAAGGGAACACGTGCTGAACAGCATGATTTGCAAGTAGCTGCCAAACCTCTCTGAACTGGGCTACTGAGGGCCAAACCGACTCGTGCACCGATGATCTTTCTTCTTTGAGCAAGTGAGTGTTTGCTGATACGCGTTTGGAATGCAACCTCATAGGGAGAATCTCATGTTTTCCCTTCTCGTCCTTTACGATTTTGATACTGTTGAGGGTCAACGCAACTCGTAAGTGCACTCCGCGAGGTCTTGCTGTGGAGAACGACCTCATCTTGCCCTGCCAAATTGCACCATTCTTGCAGCTCACGGCATGTGATGGCAAAAAGATGCAAGAGTAAGCATGAGATCAGATGGAACAGAGGATGTTTATATTATATCTATATCTGATATTTCTTTGCATGTTCATTCAAAGACGTGTCTGAGGCAGCCGCCTGGCATCAAGCCGCAAGGGCCGCAGCCGGAGCCACGGGGAGCCGGTCCGGCAACGAAGCCTCCGTTCAGAGCTCCTGCGAGGAGTTTGCGGTTTCGGCCTTTGGGTTCAGGGCTTGAGGGTTTTGGGGTGAGGTGCGACAGAACCAACCCAAAGACTGTCCTGCAAGCTGCATCGCACCTCCGGAAAAGGCTGACACTTGTGCCAAAGGCGCTCGACTCCAGTGGTCGACTCAGAAACCTCTTCGACACGGTGGCCTCCTCCCTTGCCCTTGTCGCCTCTTTTGCCCTTTCCACCCTTGCCGCCTGCGGCGCTAAGGAGATCA